TTTTTGAAAAGAGAATATGAATAATGATCTTGTGTACAAATGTCTGTGGGCACATGTTTAGATTATCTTTGTGTACATATATCTGTGTACACATGTGTAGATGTATAATGTATCTTTGTGTACATATATCTGTGTACAAATGTGTAGATATATAATCTATCTTTGTGTACATATATCTGTGTACACATGTGTAGATATATAATCTAGTCTTTGTGTACATATATCTGTGTACACATATGTAGATGTATAATGTAACATGTGTCATATATTTTTACACATGTGTAGATGTACATATCTTATTGTGTCTAGTATGTGTACATAGGTATGTGTCAGCTATGTTTGTGTACACAAGTGTATATGTATAATGTATCTTGTGTACATATATCTGTGTACACATGTGTAGATATATAATCTATCTTTGTGTACATATATCTGTGTACACATGTGTAGATGTATAATGTATCTTTGTGTACATATATCTGTGTACACATGTGTAGATGTATAATGTATCTTTGTGTACATATATCTGTGTACACATGTGTAGATGTACATATCTGATTGTGTACATAGTATGTGTACATAGGTATGTGTACATATGTCTGTGTACACATGTGTAGATGTATAATATATCTTTGTGTACATGTCTGTGTACACATGTGTAGATGTATATGTATCTTTGTGTACATATATCTGTGTACACATGTGCAGATGTATATGTATCTTTGTGTACATATGTCTGTGTACACATGTGTAGATGTATATGTATCTTTGTGTACATGTATCTGTGTACACATGTGTAGATGTATATGTATCTTTGTGTACATATGTCTGTGTACACTTGTGTAGATGTATATGTATCTGTGTACATATGTCTGTGTTCACATGTGTAGATGTATATATCTGTTTGTGTACATAGTATGTATACATAGGTATGTGTACATATATCTGTGTACACATGTGTAGATGTATATGTATCTGTGTACATATGTCTGTGTACACATGTATAGATGTATATGTATCTTTGTGTACATATGTCTGTGTACACATGTGTAGATGTATATATGTTTACGCACACATATGTCTATGGTTACTGTTTGTAGGAAATGATTTGTACAAAATGTTTAAAACTCTCAGACTGTTGTTACCAGTTTTAGAAATTATATGGAGCATGTTCAGGTTGTTTTGTTTACGCAGGGCCTTTGATTTTACTATCAAACAATAGAGTATAAGAAGTTCCATTTCAGTTTTGTGGTAGCCATGTTTGTGTGATGATTCAATCTCTTTGATTTAGATATCATGTACTGTTCCTATCAGCTATATGTTTATCTGCTTTAACAAAGAATGCAGATCTAACCTTTGAAATGAAAAATAAATGTTGGACCATACTTATGATAACAATTCTCACTTCCAATTTTAATTTGAGGATACCGTATTTGCCTTAATATTACCTAACACTCTTAAATAAGAGTTGAGAATACCATTGTTCACCATGAAATTACTTAATACTTTCCAATCAGATGAGAGAATATCTTATTTGTCATAATAACGCATAACTTTCCAATCAGATGAGAGAATATCTTATTTGTCATAATAACGCATAACTTTCCAATCAGATGAGAGAATATCTTATTTGTCATAATAACGCATAACTTTCCAATCAGATGAGAGAATATCTTATTTCTCATAATAACGCATAACTTTCCAATCAGATGAGAGAATAACTTATTTGTCATAAAAGTACCTAACTTTCCAATCAGATAAGACGTTAACTTATTTACCATAATAGCACCTAACTTTCAAAAAACAAGGAGGATACTATATTTACCATTTGTTCTTACTTCTTACACAATTTAATGAAAACTCTTCACTCTTGTGTGACATACTCTTTACCCTTGTGTGACTGTTTGACATACTCTTTACCCTGGTGTGACTGTTTGACATACTCTTTACCCTGGTGTGACTGTTTGACATACTATATACCCTGCTGTGACTGTTTGACATACTCTTTACCCTGGTGTGACTGTTTGACATACTGTATACCCTTGTGTGACTGTTTGACATACTCTTTACCCTGGTGTGACTGTTTGACATACTCAAAACCTTGTGTGACTGTTTGACATATTCTTTACCCTGGTGTGACTGTTTGACATACTTTTTACCCTAGTGTGACTGTTTGCCTTACTCTTTACCCTGGTGTGACTGTTTGACATACTCTATATCCTAGTGTGACTGTTTGCCTTACTCAAAACCTTGTGTGACTGTTTGACATACTCTACACCCTTGTGTGACTGTTTGACATACTCTTTACCCTTGTGTGACTGTTTGACATTTTCTATATCCTAGTGTGACTGTTTGCCTTACTCAAAACCTTGTGTGACTGTTTGACATATTCTTTACCCTGGTGTGACTGTTTGACATACTCAAAACCTTGTGTGACTGTTTGACATATTCTTTACCCTGGTGTGACTGTTTGACATACTTTTTACCCTGGTGTGATGGTGTGACATACTCTTTACCCTGGTGTGACTGTTTGACATACTCTTTACCCTGGTGTGACTGTTTGAGATACTCAAAACCTTGTGTGACTGTTTGACATATTCTTTACCCTGGTGTGACTGTTTGACATAATCTATACCTGGTATTAGTGTTTGACATACTCTTTACCCTGGTGTGACTGTTTGGCATACTCTATACCCTAGTGTGACTGTTTGCCTTACTCTTTACCCTGGTATGACTGTTTGACATACTCTATACCCTAGTGTGACTGTTTGCCTTACTCTTTACCCTGGTGTGACTGTTTGACATACTCTATACCCTAGTGTGACTGTTTGCCGTACTCTTTACCCTGGTGTGACTGTTTGACATACTCTATACCCTAGTGTGACTGTTTGACATACTCTATACCCTGGTGTGACTGACATACTCTTTAAAATTCCTTTTTCCAGAACCTAATACTTACATGCTGTTTAACATCATATGTGTCATGATATCATTGATAAAGACAAACTGATAGATAATGAAAGTATTCCTATCAGTTTTATATTGAAGAAATAGAATTCTCTCTTGAAACCCAAACCATCAAATTTTCATGCCCTGGGTTCCTATTATGGCAAATATGATAGAGGTTATAGAGGAAATGCAGTCTAGTGGCAAACATCTACTGGTAGCTAAATACTACACATGGATTATTATATTTTTTGAAATTAGAAACTTGTTTATCAAATTCAGAAATTTAAAAATTCTTAATCAAATTCAGAAAGGTTAATGATGGTTGATTCAGTCGGAAGGAAAGAATGAAGGTCGAAGGCTCTAATACAATGTATTGTGTCTGTATGTGGTAGAGTGAGTTACACATGCATTTCAGGTGCAAGGCGTGTCTGTGTGAACATTACGTCACCTGCAGGTTAGCGTACAGTGTGGTAGACATGTGTTTCTGTCCCTGTTACAGCTGGTCCTGTTTATTTATGGTGTGCCAGGCGTCAATATTTACTCCCATTCTCTGGTCAATCTGTAAAATGTCATTGTTAAGTGCTCCATAGGTACATGTCATTTAGTGCTGGAAACAAAATCTACAGGAAAAATGCCAGCTAGATACAGTGATGTAAGCAGTATACAGTTTAACAGTATAATCAGGAATCATATTCAGAATTTGATTTTATCAACTTTTAGTGTACTAATTTTTCTTTATCTGACCCTTTTTACTGTAGATCAATCTGTTTATTTTTGAGGTCACTATGTAGTTAGTCGTCCAATGAAATTGACTCTTTTGACATTGACCTTTACATGAGATATTTATATTACACTGGTTTTTCTACTTCAGGTTTGATCCCTAATTTACTGTCAATTTTGATATTTCTCTCAAAATGTTGTTTTTTATGCCCTTCGATTTTTATCCTCATTATCCATTCTATGGACTTAATACAAATATTAATTATTATATCATACCTTGGATGATGTGGTGTTTAACGGTTCAGAGGTCAAGGTCATCACTATTTTTTATAAGAAATTTGTGAAAGAATTACTGGAAACATACCTAATTTGGCGCAATCACATTTTAGTGCATTATGGTTTTTTTGACAAAGATACGCAATAGTGACATAGTACATCAGTAAAAATTATTATATAAAAATTATTTGAAAATGTGCACTATCATATTTCAATGCAATTGCTTATTGTGGGCAGTCTTGTCTCACCGACATTCTTTGTTTTCTTTTGTAAAATTGAATGACATATGATAAATGATATCGGCTCAGTTTTACTCGGATACAGGGTGTTAATCATTGTATAGAGATAGTAATAGGAATATTCATTGAACAAACATATATTTGTTTTTGTTTTTCAGAATAATTCTGTGTATCTATAAACTGTAATGTATTTGTATTTGTTTTACAGAATACTACCCAGTATTTATAAATAATGGTGTATTTGTGTTTGTTTTACAGAATACTACCCAGTATCTATAAATAATTTGTGTTTGTGTATTTGTGTTGTGTTTTACAGAATACTACCCAGTATTTATAAATAATAGTGTATTTGTGTTTGTTTCACAGAATACTACCCAGTATCTATAAACTGTAGTGTATTTGTGTTTGTTTTACAGAATACTACCCAGTATCTATAAATAATATTGTATTTGTGTTTGTTTTACAGAATACTACCCAGTATCTATAAATAATGGTGTATTTGTGTTTGTTTTACAGAATACTACCCAGTATTTATAAATAATGGTGTATTTGTGTTTGTTTTACAGAAAACTACCCAGTATCTATAAACTGTAGTGTATTTGTGTTTGTTTTACAGAATACTACCCAGTATCTATAAACTGTAGTGTATTTGTGTTTGTTTTACAGAATACTACCCAGTATCTATAAATAATGGTGTATTTGTGTTTGTTTTACAGAAAACTACCCAGTATCTATAAACTGTAGTGTATTTGTGTTTGTTTTACAGAATACTACCCAGTATCTATAAATAATGGTGTCTTTGTGTTTGTTTTACAGAATACTACCGGGTATCAATAAATTTTACTGACTTGACTTATGATCCTACACTAGAAGTTAGCGGCAGTGCTGCCTTCACCAGACTTGCTAACCCCATCTCACAAGCCATTGAGAACTTGTTTAGGAACGTAGATGGAGACCAATATGCTGTTGTTATCAAGTTCAGGTAAATATAATGGTCCAATTGAACCTCAGTTTCATCTGGCTGGCTTTATTAATTGCAGCACATTGTTCATAGTGACAATAAACCTGTCTGGTAAAAAGTCTGAAATATCTTTTGATACCTGTAGAATGATTATAAACTAGTCATGATGATAATGTTGAAACTGACTATACTTTTTCTTAGGTGCAAAATCACAGTAGACTTCTTTCACGATGTGAAAAATGAAACTGACTCTTGATTTTCACAGGGGTTAAACCACCAGATACTGACTCTATGATTATAAAATTGAAACTAACCTTACATTTTTATGGGTGTTAAATGACTGGATAGTGACTCTGTGATGATCAAATTGAAACAGATTATACTTTTTCACAGATGTGAAATCATTGGAGACAGACTCTGTGATGAAAATGAAACTGACTATACTTTTTCACAGGTGTTAAATCACTGGAGATAAACTCTATGATGATAAATTGAAACATACTATTCATTTTCATAAATGTAAATCACTTGATACTGACTGTTATGATAAAAATGAAACTGGTTATACATTTTCACAGATGTGAAACTACTGGAGACTGACTCTACGATGAAAATGAAACAGACTATACTTTTTCACAGGTGTTAAATCACTAGATACTGACTCCATGATGATAACAGAAATCGACACAGAATTCCAGAAAGCTTTTGAAAGTTAAATATTTGGTCATACCAAAGTAATAACCCAGCTGTAAAACCGTCACAGAGGGACTCTGAGTACTGAATGAGATCTGCTGATGTATGTGAATTTTTTAAACCGTTTTATTGACTGTTCAACATACCACAGACTCAGGCTTAGGGTCTCCTTACTCAAAAATACAACAGAGCTAAGGGCTGGCTTGAGGGAAAGATACATGAACTTTTATTAGTTTTATTTTTCTGATATGTAAAACTGAAAAAACCTAGCTACAGCAGGAAACATATTGATTTTGAGGTTTACAAAGCAAAATTATGACTGATTTTACATTAAGATAGAGCTGATGGATATTCATTTAGGTTTAAATATGTGTGTGTAAACATGTTAGATAAAGAAATAAATAAAAATGTTTTAATGCAAAAATACTAATGACTTATTTGCAACAAAATGGTAAGGATTAAAAGAATTTTGCTGTTTTTCTGTCTTTCCTGTCTGCCCATCTGTTTATTTATTTTGTCAGAGTTATGTCCCTTCTATAGAATTATTGATGCATTGTTCTTAGATGAATTACAGATTATCTCTGACACTATATTAGGGGATGAGCTTATTGAAGGAATATGAAAGGGCATCTGTACTTTTCACCACGCATCAGTTTGTTACTAGTTTGATACAAATTTGTTATTGTTGATGTTATGTCTCTTTATGCGAGATATCTGACTGTGATATAAGAATTCCTGTATGTTACAGCCATTATAACTTTTTTGTTAATGTTGTATGAAGTGTGGAAAGTATGAATTATCCTTACGACTATCCTGTGGTTTGTGTACATCAAGGTTATGAAAGAGCTTAATCATTTTACAGTATATGGTTAACTGTAAAAACATTTAAAAGATGAGGTAGAATAAATATCAGGTGATGGTGTGTTATTTTAATATGGCTAAAAAAGGAAAGGATTAATGCTTTCAATTTAATTTTATTTTCAAAATTTTTATTAAAACATTAATATGGAAATCAGCTGACAGCTCTAGTTTCTGTTTATAAATGGCTGTCTCCCTCTAACTAGATAAACATTCTGTACTGCCAATTAGTTTGACCTTTTGACCTGATCAGCGAGCTATTTACAAACAATAAAACAAATGTCCTGTCATGAGTTTTAACCATTTGAAGTAAAGTTGAATAACATTAGGACACTTACCTCAAATACTTGAAAACAAGAGAGATTTAGTTCCCTATCACCCTCTTCAAACATGATCCTTAACTTTGGGCATCAAAGATGTTGAGGTTATCCTTTATGTAAACAAAACTGTCTTTTAATAAAAAAGACAAGCAAGTGCTACCAGGCTTCAAACATTTCTACTCCCTAATTAAGGATCCATTCACCGAAGGACAAAATGGTTTTATTTTACAGTAACGGTTTTAGTTTCCATTCTGTAAGGTTTAGGTCAGAGGTCAGATTTTGTGAATGACATCTCCACCATTTTACTCCAATAATCGGTGTTCCTTGCTGATGACGAATGGAGAGATTGCATGTTAGAGGTGTTGTTGGCCCGCCTAATTGGCTGACATTTCAAACGCACGGTTCTAAGCGGTGTCTGCTCATCAAATCAAATAAAACTTGCTGTAATTGAAATTCAAAAAAAGGCCAGGGAGCAAGGAATGGCCTTTAAACTATTACATATATACTTTCTGAGATAAGTGACAAAGTTTTAGAATATAATACATGTAACTTCATGCTGGCAGTCAATGTTGGTGTAATGTCCTATCAGTGCAGAAGTCTGGCTTGGCTACCTTAAGGAGAAAGACGTTGGTCATTACTCATAATTCTTTCCATCTCTGAACAGTAGCTAAGGGGGATGAATTGGAGATCACAGGTTTAAGCCGTAGCATAAAAAAAATTTGTTGTGAAGTCATCACTTCGCACTGTTTAAGCACGGTGGTGCACACACAGTGACTTTAGGGACTCGTCATGTTTTGTAGAACTGTCCGTCTAAGTTTTGTGATTTTCGTGATTTTCAGTCCCGGATCTTTGATTGTCACCTTTGACCTTGTAACGGATGGCAACTATGACCGTATGCAATTATATAACACGTTATTAAGTGCAGTAAACAGCGGAAGTATAGCTCCCTACCGGGTCAGCCCTGTTGGATTCAACTTCCGACCTCTACAAGGTAAGTCCTTGTTTCAACAAGTATTGTATTCATATACCTTTCCACATTTATTGAATTTAATTGGAATACCTATCATGATCATATTGTTTAAAGATAATATTTTGATGTACCCGCTGATTGAAGGAGATGGTGAGGGGAGGGCGTGGGGGAGGGGGAATACAATTTTTTTTTCTGTCAGATTGTACTTGTGCAGCAGTCTTGGTATTGTAATTATGTTTTCATTCAATAGATTCATGATGAATCACTGTTGTTCTTTGGATTTTCTGCTGTGCAATGTGGTTTACAAATATCAGTTTCTATTTAGATTTGATTAAGATATTAACATTTCTATTTTATAATTTTTCCGCAAGAAATAGATAAATCTGAAAGTGCAAAATATCAGCTATGGTATATGAAATAACATCACTGTATTAGTGTATCTGTAGGGGACGGAAGCCTTATGTATTGTTCTTTTATGGTTTTGGAAATTTTTAAACTAGGTTTTGACCAACTGATCTCTTAGGCAGGTTTCACAGTGGTTGGTTACCGAGGATTACCATACTTATCATGGAAAATGCCCCAGGGCTGGGGGAAGGTTTGATAAAGGACAATATGATAATTGTAGATCAGGCATTAGATATTTATAGACCTATCACTAAATATCATTTATAGATAGGTGTTGGTAAAAAGGGTAGTATTTTCTCATGAAATATAGTGCTAAGTTCTGTGTTTTGACAAACTTTTACAGTTTTTTTGATGGTTGAAGAAACCTGTATTGTTCTGTGTCCTTTTTGGATGAATTGTATTTACTATGTGTCAGTTAAGACAGCTTTAGAGAGCCAGGATTCAAAATCTCTGAAGCCCTTTTATCACCAATTTTAAAAGAGTTTTCCTCCTTCTGAAACTCACCACACAGTTCCAATAGTTGAAATGGTATTTAAAATAATCTTGGATGGGTAATATAGTGCCTTTGAAAAAGTACTGTAGTGAGGATACAACAGTACAAAGATCTCATCCCTGCTATCACACAGAACACCAGCAAAAGTCCAGTGTGGAGGCATTGCCATGGTGACATAAGGGCCATTTATTAGTTTTCATTTGATAAACAGCTCTTTCTTTACCTGCAAATTGTAGATAAAGTATAAATTGTATCAATCTTAACGTTGCTCGGAATTTTAGAATGGCCTTTTCCACCTGAATAGTGAAATGGTTTTAAATGTAAGGATTAAACAATGAAAGATTTCAAAATAAGTTTTGTTTTTTGAATATTTGAGTTTGCAGTTAAGGGGATATAGAAACATTGGTCGATCAATAATGAAAATACTCATTAGTCACTTATATTACATTAAAGATAAGAAGTAGTGATAAAACATATTATCAAACTCTACATGGATTTGTTGGCATCTAAATGATTCTCAAAAGAGAAACATGTCATTTCAGTTATAATGACCTAACAATTTTTCAAATGGTTTGAGTCATAGCTAGCATCAAAGATGAATACTGAGCTCTGAATGTGCTGAGTGTACGCTTCACCTTGATCAACTGAGGTTTGAGGTGTCGTTGTTAGTAGTGTATAGTTGATTAATGGAGAAAAGGTTAGATAACTCTTACTAATGAACTTTCAGGTGAGCCCAGAGGTAATAAGATCAGAGATATGGTCAAAACAGTCACACGACCTTTGACCCGTACCTGCTGGCTACTGGTAATAAGTCTGCCATAGTATACCACGCCTATTTATATAGGTACAGAGACAGATGATTGTCGACAGCCTGGTACAAGTTCTGTGTACATAAATCCTGTATTCTCTGTAGAATAAAATGCATACAGTGTCATGGAACATTTGAAACATATCACAGCAGAAGAGTAGATCAAATATCTCGGAACTTCTCAAAATTTTTTGACTGTAAAGTTTTATTTGTGTGCAACGTCAGTTTTCATCATTTGATGACTCATACAAATTAGATAATTTGGTACTACCGTATTTACCATTCAGCTAGCCCAGGGATGCTGCACACTATTGGGTAGACTGTGTTACAGGACAGTTAAATAATTCCATCGGTTTTTCTTTTTGACTTATCAGTATATTCTGTTGGGCTTATTACTGGACAGTGGCTTAATTGATGGATAATACATATTGCCATATAATATGTTGTGTGATGGAGGATTTTGATAGATTTCATACACTCACAAGTTGAAAGGTCTACGACAAAGAGATTAAAACATGTGAAGTTATCTTCCTAATCAGTGAAAATTGAAAGAGAAAAACAATTGTCACATTCATAACATTATAAATCACTTAAGAAAGTTTATAAAACTTTATAATTGTGTGTAGCATCACCACACAACTTATGTCTTGTAATGGTAGCAGGACAGTCACCATAAGATCTTATATAAATCTGAAGCCATCCTTGTGAACATATCAAGATAGTTCCTTGATCTTCTGAAAAACATCACTGGTAGAATGATGTGGACAGTTAAGGACAGAGGAGTTGAAAACCTTCGGATGTCTGGCCAGTTCCTATAGAGATGAATCTGGAGCACCTGTTCCCATAATGCATTGTAAAGTCTACTTGTTATAGTTAGAAGATGTTACGTATAGGGAATAGATAAAGTATTAATTTGACTTAAAATTGAAGTTTCCTGAGCAACAATTTGTTTGCACTATGTACATGGATGGCTCTGAAATAAGTAATTAGATGAAGTAGCCTTCCTGTCGGGTTGTAGGGAGAGTGGGGAAGGGAAATCTGATGTCATAATGAGTCGAGTGATGCAAACAGGATGTTAAAGCATAAAAGAACCAGCAATCATGGGATGTTATATAATATTTGGTTAACTGATGGAAGGCTGGAAGTTTAAAGTGATGTGTAGCTGTAGAATCCTATTGTCTTGTCCTAATGATAAATATGAAGCTGTAGAAACTTTTGTCTTGTTCTAATGATAAATATGTAGCTGTAGAATTCTATTGTCTTGTCCTAATGATAAATATGTAGCTGTAGAATCCTATTGCCATTGTTCTAATGATAAATATGTAGCTGTAGAATCCTATTGTCTTGTCCTAATGATAAATGTGTAACTGTAGAATTCTATTGCCATTGTCCTAATGATAAATATGAAGCTGTAGAATCCGTTTGTCTTGTCCTAATGATAAATGTGTAACTGTAGAATTCTATTGCCATTGTCCTAATGATAAATATGAAGCTGTAGAAACTTTTGTCTTGTTCTAATGATAAATATGTAGCTGTAGAATACTATTGTCTTGTCCTAATGATAAATATGTAGCTGTAGAATCATATTGTCTTGTCCTTATGATAAATATGAAGCTGTAGAATCCTATTGTCTAGTCCTAATGATAAATATGAAGCTGTAGAATCCTATTGTCTTGTCCTAATGATAAATATGAAGCTGTAGAATCCTATTGTCTTGTCCTAATGATAAATATGTAGCTGTAGAATCCTATTGTCTTTTCCTAATGATAAATATGTAGCTGTAGAATCCTATTGTCTTGTTCTAATGATAAATATGTAGCTGTAGAATACTATTCTCTTGTCCTAATGATAAATATGTAGCTGTAGAATCATATTGTCTTGTCCTAATGATAAATATGAAGCTGTAGAATCCTATTGTCTAGTCCTAATGATAAATATGAAGCTGTAGAATCCTATTGTCTTGTCCTAATGATAAATATGAAGCTGTAGAATCCTATTGTCTTGTCCTAATGATAAATATGAAGCTGTAGAATCCTATTGTCTTGTCCTAATGATAAATATGTGTAAACTGTCTGTCCTAATGATAAATGTGTAACTGTTGTCTTGTCCTAATGATAAATGTGTAACTGTAGAATCCTATTGCCATTGTCCTAATGATAAATATGAAGCTGTAGAATGTAATGATAAATATGTAGCTGTAGAATCCTATTGTCTTGTCCTACTGGTAAATATGAAGCTGTAGAATCCTATTGTCTTGTCCTAATGATAAATATGTAGCTGTAGAATCCTATTGTCTTGTCCTAATGATAAATATGAAGCTGTAGAATCATATTGTCTTGTCCTAATGATAAATATGAAGCTGTAGAATCCGTTTGTCTTGTCCTAATGATAAATGTGTAACTGTAGAATTCTATTGCCATTGTCCTAATGATAAATATGAAGCTGTAGAATCCTTTGTCTTGTCCTAATGATAAATATGTAACTGTAGAATCCTATTGTCTTGTCCTAATGATAAATATGTAGCTGTAGAATCCTATTGTCTTGTCCTAATGATAAATATGTGTAACTGTCCTAATGATAAATATTCTATCCTATTGTCTTGTCCTAATGATAAATGTGTAACTGTAGAATCCTATTGCCATTGTCCTAATGATAAATATGAAGCTGTAGAAACTTTTGTCCTAATGATAAATATGTACTGTAGTCCTAATGATAAATATGTAGCTGTAGAATCCTATTGTCTTGTCCTAATGATAAATATGAAGCTGTAGAATCCTTTTGTCTTGTCCTGATGATAAATGTGTAACTGTAGAATCCTATTGCCATTGTCCTAATGATAAATATGAAGTTGTAGAAACTTTTGTCTTGTTCTAATGATAAATATGTAGCTGTAGAATCCTTTTGTCTTGTCCTAATGATAAATATGAAGCTGTAGAATCCTATTGTCTTGTCCTAATGATAAATGTGTAACTGTAGAATCCTATTGCCATTGTCCTAATGATAAATATGAAGCTGTAGAAACTTTTGTCTTGGCCTAATGATAAATATGTAGCTGTAGAATCATATTGTCTTGTCCTAATGGTAAATATGATGCTGTAGAATCCTATTGTCTTGTCCTAATGATAAATAGCTGTAGAATCATATTGTCTTGTCCTAATGATAAATATGAAGCTGTAGAATCTATTGTCTTGTCCTAATGCTAAATATGAAGCTGTAGAATCCTATTGTCTTGTCCTAATGATAAATATGAAGCTGTAGAATCCTATTGTCTTGTCCTAATGATAAATGTGTAACTGTAGAATTCTATTGCCATTG